AGGAAGTTTGTTTTAATTTCCTATTCAAGCAAAATGAAAGAGTGGAAGCTTTGACTTGCAATGTGCAATATTTAAATTCATATTTCATAATTTTTCCTAATTAGGCAATGCATATAAGAAAGGAATGGAAGGACAATGTTAAAATGCTACATTAAATTAAACGTGTGATATAAAGGGAACATGATTTGTAAAGTAAATGAATTGGGAAAAGTTAAGCCAAACATGAAAAACACTACACAAAACCAATCAGAAGCCTGAGAGACATTATCTATGATTTGTGAGAAAGATTATCTGACAAATGTTGACACAGGATCCATGACTGTGTTACCATAAAACCAAATAAAAGCTTCTTTTTAATGACGTTTCTTTTTACAGCAATAAAGGCTTGCATATGGATGCAGACGTGTCTCTGATAAGCTGATTTGAGCAGAGACTGAAATAGTTCACTGAAAAACAAATGGACACCATCCAAACTGAAAAAAACAGAGGAGAGCAAAGCCAAAGACAGGGTTCATGACGATTCCATGTCACAGAGGCTGTGGACACAGAATGGCACAGACAGTGAGAGCTGCTGCTCTTAAAGCAAGAAAACTTGAAAGAATCTTTCAACAGGAATGTTTCAACCCCAGGTAATCTTTTTAAGAGACTAACAGTCCCCTGAGAAAACCTCTCGTATAAAGTGGATTATAAGTAAATAGGTATTTTCAGATGCTTAGGATTATTTATTAAATACTTTCATAATTAGTAAGATACATGAGGCGGAAATCTAAGCACAGTTCACTACTCATCTAAAATGCATGGTGATTTGAAACACCTGGTTAAGAACAGCCAGTCTGTTTCCTTTGGAAGCTGCCGGACGCATCAGTAAAAGCAGCAGCACTTTTAGGGCAGTAGCTCTGGAGCCAGTAAAGAGGGGTACAGTCAGCCCCATTTGCTTGGCCTTTTCTGTCTACTTGAAATTTAGGTTGTATAAATAAATTTGAGAGTAAGAGTGATTGAGTCTGTCCATATCATCCACTAGCTCAAAATACAAATTGGGTAAGGATAAAATTGATCAGTGTATAATTCCACATCATTGACCAAATACAATTCTTTGTTAGTTTGTTATATCTCAGTGTCTTTAAGTGTCTTGTGGGCAGAAAAAAAAATTCTTGTTTTTTTTAACCCCAAGATCGACTTAGGCAAAAAAAAACCCCTCAAAATACCTCAAAAAACATTGTTTTAATTTGTTTCACTTTGGTATATCATTCCATTTTTTTAGAACTCTAAGATACATAATTTTTTAGAGACCAAAATTCGTGAGAAAGAACTTCTAGTATAAAGTGGACTCTAATTAAATAGATATTTTCAGATTATTTATTGGAAGGTACTGTGTTTCATTTTTGCTCTGTTTTTATTTTCTGGTTTTACAACTCCTTGGCTATTCCTATGTCATGATACCTTCTAGAGACTGTAAATGTGAAATTAAAGCTACAATCTCTTTAGAGATTGTTTTCCATTTACCACACTTCAATCCCCTCATTACTCTTCTTGAAGCTCAGATTTATTTGTTCCAATTATCTGACCATTTACTTCTATTCTCTAATATCCCTACTTTTCTTCACTTGAAACAACCATTAAGTCATGTAATCATTCCACAGCCATTGTTTATGGAACCCAATCATTATGACACCCATGAAAATTATTCAGTCACATACTCAATTAGATTTACTTCCTAATATATGGACCAACATTTATTTCTTACTAGACTTATTCTCTTTAGTAGTCTATTGACACTTGTAAAGCTCATTTTATAAAACTAAAATACCTATCTCCTAAACATGTTAAACCTAATTCTTTGGGGTCCATGAACAACCCTAAGAAAACATGTGATAAAATGGTCACAGCATATATACTATTTCATGCATAAAGTCCATTGCTTCTCATAAAAATCTCCTTAGGTAAGAAGTTACAATCTAAATTTCCAGATAAGGAAATAGTGTTTTGGGAACTATTTGTGATTGTACACCTGATGATTGATGGTAATAAAAGTGTTATAATTTAAGAATATAAAAACACTGGTGTTTCTCATCTGTTTTTTGTTTTTTTTTTGCTTCAGGGGAAATTCAATATTTTGTCAATTTCTTTGTAATTTTATCATCTCTTTAAGCAGATATGAATATGTGCATATTTAGATTATTTTCAATATTAAAATATGTTTGCAGGTGCCAAATGTCCTCAGGAGGGTTCATACTTTTAAAATTACTAACAGTGATATGCAGCTCTAAAAATGAACACATCATGGTTCCAATAAAGAATGCAACTGCAGTTGTTCCTTAAGGAAAGTCTGTCTAAGGGTGGCTGCCTTTATCAAAAAGAAGAAGTAATAAGTACTATAGAATCCCTGCTGTAATTATAGCAGTTATTTAAATACCTTGTGGAGTTTGAACCTCAGCTCATGTATACATGTGATGAAATAATGTATGGCACCAGGAATAAAGGATTTTATGTCAGAAAGAAAATTGCCTTGCAGCATTGTTTGAAAAATCTTTGCATTGTGTCTTAAAATTAAGTAGAGCCTTAAAGGCTATTGAATGATTGCAGAAAAAAGAAGATATTTGAGATACAAAGCAGAAAAATGAAAGTGTGCTACTGAGGTACTTTGAGTATCAACCTAAATAGAAGTAAAGATGCCATTTGAACATGGAACTAAATAGAGAGGGCTCCTGGCTTGGACCAACTATGCAGAATCTAGATATGTAGATGAAGCACTAACTTTCACAATATATGTGCTCACTTCAGCAGCACATATACTAAAGAAGAGAACTTACTCAAAATAAAATAGAGAAACACTGTGTAGCAATAGTATAGCAGGTGCTCACTGTCAGTGGGTTTTGACAAAGGCAACATGAGGACAGATTGGGGGTAAGACCTTCTCTTCAACAAATGGTGCTGAGAAAACTCAGTTCCCAGGTGCCAAGGAATAAAACTAGACCCCTATTTTTCTCTATAGACAAAAGTCAACTTAAAGGGCTCAAGACTTATATTAAGATTCAAAACTATGAAAGAACACATTGATTTTTCAACATTTTCTGATCTTTCAACACACGGATGTCTTCAATGTGACATATATGAGAAAGTTCCAGGACATGGAGTTAAGATGATACCTGTAAGTCAGACAGATGATTTGCCGGTTCTTGCAGATTTTCATTTGTTGGTCAAAGAAAAAGTGCCATTAAAATACAGCAGAAAGTAGGGATGAGTGCTTTAAGGAGTACTTGTTAAAAATGTGAAAAATGAAGAAACAACCCTGTGTGTCTTATGTGTAAAATGGGTTTGCAGAATAATGGAAAGTGAGGGTAAGTGTAAATGTGTTTCATACAATGTGAGGGAATGAAAATGATACAAAACTTCATTTTTGCTTTTATTTTATTTTTGGTAGAAATGTCAGGAGTCACTGAAGGATTCTGTTTATTGTAAGAGCATAAATGATCCCTTCATTAGAAACAGGACCTGCTACTTCATTGGCAGTTACTTGAAGAGGAGAGATTATAAGAAGAGGAACCATAATTGCAATTTAAATGTGCAGAAGATATTCTAAATACTTCAACCAGGTAGCACCATGGATGACTTTCATGGTGAGGAAGGAGAAGAGGACTGAGCTTTCTCACTAACACTCACTTTGACAGATTGCTCTTGGAGAGTGATCAGTCACTTCCCATAGCTGGGATAAGATACTTGACACCTGCAGCCTAAAGAAGATGTGCATTTGGCTCATGGTGTCAGACATTCAGTCCATGATTGGCTGGCTCCAAGGGAGAAACAACACTGAAAGGGCATGGTGGTAACAAGCTGCTCCAGCCAAAGTAGGCAGGAAGCAAAAGAGAAGGGAAGATGGAGCGACCAGAAAATAACCTTCCAGGTCACATTCCAGTGGCTGCCTCTGACAACCAGGCCCCACCTGCTAAGAGCACACTGAGCTTTGAACTCATCTGTGGGTCAATCTGATGATGAGTATGGAGCCTTCATAATCCATTCATCTTCCAAAAACCCCACCTCTGAACACACAAGATCAGAGGGGCAAGGTAGGCTTAGATCTAAACCATGGGAAAGGGCTACCTTGAAATATACTGTCTGGATAAAGAGTTCTTTTATCAAGAAAAAAATTAATTTGGAAAACTTAATAGAACCATTGATTGAGGAAAACTGAGTCAAAATATTATTGATTGAGGAAAAGAGGAAATTCTGAGCAATGAAGAAATAGCAAATAAAGAATTAACTGTGTTTAGAAAAAAATATGAGAACAGCAGATTAATGATATTTAGAATGACAAAAAACAGAAATAAGCCCCAGGGAATTAGTTCAGTGGTTCTGACATCTGCCTCACTAGTGCAGGGTCCCAAGTTAGATCCTGGTACCAAAACAAAACAAAACAAAATGAAACAAACGAAAAACCCCAAAAAACAAATCCAGAAATAAAATGAGAAAAATTTAAAATTTTTTAGCCTGAGACACAAAGAAAAGAATGTCCAAATAACTGAAAAAGGTAGGGTAAATCAGTTTGATATTGAGGGGAAGAAATAAGTAGATTTTAAAAATGTCTTAAAATTTAGTAGTTATGCTACATTCAGGAAAATAAAGTGAAGAGAAAGTTAGAAATTCAAATCAAGGGCCTTTACGTGAGGGTGATGATAGAGATTTGAGAATACTATAGTAAGTAATACATTCTCACACACACAGTGGGTGGAAGAACTCTGTAAACCATGGTTTTTATGGTCCTGTCTGAAGAAGCATCAGTGCTAGTGTGTTTCTGTGTTGGAGGAGTACAGCAGATTGCTGCTGTGAAAGGGTGGAGAGAAGAGAAGGAAAGGTACAGCAGTGTGGGGAGAGGTCTGGGTCTCCCCAGGCCAACTGTGAGATAGCAAAGGAAGGAAAGGAAGGTGGAGTGGTGCCAGGCTTCAGTACCCAGACACAGAGCTTCCGAGGAGCCCACAGAGTGTGCTTCAGTAGGATCAGTGCTGTCACGGACAATACAGTTTCTGCAGTGCAACCTTTATGTCTCTGTTCCTCAGACAACAGATAGCAGGATTCAAGGTAGGGGTAAGGATGGAGTAAAAAATAGATGTCAGGTGGCCTGGGGTTGGGGAATACTGAGAGGTGGGTCGCAGGTACATGAAGCCTCCAGTTCCATAAAACAAAATGACTGTGGTCAGGTGTGAGGAGCAGGTGGAGAAGGCTTTACACCGTCCTTCCCTAGAGGGGATCCACATGATTGAGGAGGTGATACACACATAGGAGGGGACCATGAGGGCAAAGGAGCTCATGACAATGCAGCTGCTCACAGAGAAGCCCACCTTCCCTTTGCGGTGGTAGCGCAGGTGAGGAACATATCAGGGGCCGTGTCAAAAAAAGTGTTCCAAGATGTTGGGTCTGCTGAAAGGCAGGGAGAAGGTGTTGAGGGTATGGAAGGCAGAGTAGATGGCCCTGCTCACCCAGGCCATGGCAGCCAGTTCAGAGGAAAGCCTTTCATTCATGGTGGTCCCATAGAGCAGGGGCTTAAGGTTGGCCAAGCACCAGCCATACTTCATGGCTATGAGCTGAAAGCACTTGGTGGAAGCCAGGGTGATGAACATGTAGAGCTGGACCACACACTCCAGATAGGAAATGCACCCAGAGCCTGTGAGGGAGGTGACCAGTCCCCTGGGCCTGGTGACTGAGGTGTTGCACATGTCCAAGAAAGATTGATTGTTCAGAAAGAAGTACTTTTGGGAGTGGAGATGGCTTTCTCTAAACACAGCTGTGATGATGGAGATGTTTTCCAGGAGCCAAAGTAAGTAGGCAAACAAGAAAAAAAAGATGACGACGAATCTCAGTTCCTGGACATCTGAAAAGCCCCTGAGAAAGAACTCAGTCACTCCTGTTTTATTGGACATCGTTCCTTCACTTTGAAGGTCTGTTCCAATGCAGTGGCTGCATACAGTATACATGGGAAGAGAAATAGAGCAGCTTGAAGGGTGTCTGTGAATGTCCACTTTGTCTACAGCTGCATGACAATGCTTACCAATGGAACTATAAATCCCATGTAACTCCTTATTTAAATGATTATATTTCAGTGAATGGTGATTATTCTGATGAATCAATTTGGACCATATCATCCATGTAAACTGGTCTGATATTCCTAGATCTGGATTACTATGAGAGAGAGAGAGAGAGAGAGAGAGAGAGAGAGAGAGAGAGAGAAAGAGAGGGAGGGAGAGAGAGAGAGAAATAGAGAGAGACAGGGACAGAGAAACAGAAATAGCAAGTAAGAAGTTTATGAGTGGAAAGAGGAAGAGGAAAACAGGAGGAAAAAGAACAGGAAGATGAGAAACCAAGCAGTTTTCTTACTCTTGAATTTTGGATGACTTGAGGTGAGAAATGGCCCTATGTATTTGCTTTTCTATATATTGGCACAGTTCAATATTAATTCAATTCATTATGTTTCAGAGAATGGTGATGTGCTATTTTTGCTCTCTCCTATTTCCTCCCTAACACTCCAGCTTCCCATAGGCTTCATGGCTCTGCCTAAAAGTTTTCTTCCATTCATTGCCTCGTCTCCCACCCTTCTTCACTGATGTCAGTTCCTGTCTTTTCCCCTAAATATTTTAAGTTCTTTTTATTTTTACTAACCTAAAGTAGCTCTATTAAGATCCATGGAAAAATGTTTTGAACAAATATACTTAATGTAAAAGAAAACCCATTCATGTTTTAAGAGTTATATACCAAATCCCTATACCTAGGGAATGTAATTTTGCTTGTTTTCTGATTTTTTTGCAGGTATGATCTTTATGAGCAGGAACAGTGCTTTGTTCTTTATCCCCAGAGATTATCAGGACCCAGTGACCACTATGTACTCAATAGACAGTAAACAGATGCTTCAAACTGAAAGCAAGCCCCTGTGAAGCTTCCCCTCAGAATTTAGTTCACAAAAGGTCCTGTGAGAACTCCTGGAACTTCCAGCCGAGGAATGGCCAACCTCCTGCATGTGAGCAGACATAAATCCTCCAAATTCTTGTTTACATTACAGTCTGTAATGTGTTGGTGATTTTGGTAAAATGTTATTAAATTTGTGGAAATTTACCTGCTGCTTTAGACTCTTCCTTTTCCCATTTTCCCACAGCTCTAGAGAAGACATTTCCTAATGTATGGTGGAACTGAAGACCCAAGGCTCATACTCTTACATTCAATTCTCAAATCCTCTAATTATATTAATGATCAGTATAGAAACCAGAAGAAACATGGCTTAACCTCACACTTTCTCCATGACAATGGTGGGGAGGTGGCCACATGTGCTCAGGGGATTAGAAAGAGCATTGCATGCAGGGCTGGGGTTGAACCAGCAGGCACCTTGGGCAGCTGTCAGGGGCACTGTTAGAGTTTTTCATACAACAGGTGAATCTGTGCAGGACTTGGAAAGTGGCTAGGTTCACAGAAAGTTCAGCCCCTGCTGTGCCTGTAGTGGGAGTAAAGTGACTGTGGGTCTTTGCTCACCTCAGTTCCTGGTGTAGCTTGTCCCAAAGTCCCCAGTTCAATGTAGGGAGAAGTGTGCAGAGCTGTGGGTATGGCTGGGAGTAGAGGTTCCAGTGAAAACCCTGTTTTCTGCAGCTTGAGAATATCACAGAAGCACAACAGATGCAGTTGTAATGCCCTGGGGATGTGAAGGGGTTGGAATTCAGAAAGACCCTCCACAGACGGAAGGGATTAGCTGTCAGCTGGTCACCATCACTCTTCATAAGAGGCCCACAGGTCTGTCATCCCAGCTGCCACCAGAAGATACAGGTCACCAGGGGCCTAGATGCCCTCTGAGTAACTGTGAACCCTGGTGGAAGACAATGCAGGATGTCTGTGGGCCAGATGTCTCCTCTCTCCCTGCCTCCTCCATGCCTAGCCTTTCCTTGTGCCAGGAAGACATGAACATGAACACTGAGTTTTGGAGAAGACACATGTCAAATCTTGATTAGTTTCATTGTATATTTAAAGAGATGGCAAACTTGTTCTTACCAGTTTTGATGTAACAGAATATAGTTGGTCTCGTCAGGTGGAATTGAATTTCAAGATGTTTGCTAACCTCATTGGTAGAAATTAAAGAGCATTTATAAAATGTTACAGTTCTGACTTCTGGGAACTTATACCATCTAAACTTTGAAGTATTATTCCTTTAAGAAAGTCTCTGTTAACACATGTAAACATTAACAATCAAGGGACCAAGTAAAATCAGGAAGAGATGTAGTAAGCTCATAAGCATTTAGATGCACCTTGGCCAATGAATTTGAAATAAAATATACGAATATTGACAAGCAAAAGAGAAAGTTCATTGTACGCATTTCTAAGTCTTAAAATATACAATGTGTTATTTATATACTCCATTTTGCTTAAGATATTTAGTCATAAAATTATTGTCTAAATATAATTAATGATTTTCAAATAGTTGATGTTGAAATGTATAATTAATAATATTAACAGCAAAAACAATTTGTGTAAAACACTCTAATGAGAAAAGTGCAAGACATTCAAGCACCTACGGATTCCTGTTCCCAATTCACCCTTAAAAGCACAGCCACCCTTCGTTTGCTACTTCACTCTGGCTTTCTAAATATCCCCATGAAGATTGTCCCAACCACAGACTTCACAGTATGGCAATGTCTGTATGACCCACAGCCAATTCTTTGTGACTCCAGCACTCAGGGTGCTAATGTCCATCATGATCATAAATAAATTTCTGTTTAAACACAGGTCCATGCACACTCAGTGTGCACCATTGTTTTCTTTTTTCCCTGTTGATTTGATGGCACTGAAGAAAAGTTCTCATCTGTCTCCACAGTAAGACCTGTCCCCAGGGCACCAGTCTGAGATATGCACAGGAAAATCAGGCCTCCAACTTCTGAGATGCATTTGTCAATGGAGATATGCAATAACACACAATCCTGCAAACTAGGAAAGCTAACATCTATCATTTGTAAATAAAGCTGGGAACAGAACAGTGAAACACTCCTGATCCTTCATTCTCATCCTTGTAAGGGAAAATAAAGAGAAATCCTCTCAGCTCAACAAACTATTTTATTCTATCAATATTCTAAAACACATTTTGAAGATATCTGGACAGCTGTAGACATAGGAATTATCAGTGATTCCTATTCATGCACAAGAATGAGATTGGTAAGCATGAAGCAGACACTGTGAACCTAAAGTTCAGGTAATTGTATGACAGAAATGATCCATTTATCAAAGGCTTTTTTTCTGATTTTTGCTCTGCAAATTTCTTAATGAAGGCTGTGAAATAATGCATCACTAGAATTTAGACACAGTGGGTCAATGAGATCTCACCTAGTGGCCCAAGGCTCCCTTTGGCCTCCAAACATGTGCTGGTGGTCAGATGGGCAGCAGGACCTCCTCAGTGAGCAGAGTCAGGCTGGAGAGGGGCAGAACAGAATTCCTAGCCAACTCCTCGGCTGTCTGTTAAATGCTGGGCACCCAGGAGCGTGAAGGTGCCCCTGTGAATGTGAGGTAATGAGCTTCCAGCTCTCTGCAGAGCCTGTCCTGGGAGTTAACCTGGCACCTAGCACTGGAGGGTTCTACTTACAGGTAACTTTGATGAAGACTTTCCCCTTTGGACTACTTGAGAGAACTCAAAAATATAAAAAAGTTCCTGAGAGGACATACAAACTCCAGTCAGGGAAAAATGAAAATAATATTTGCAGACAAGGCTAATAATTCTAGGAACTTAGATATTTGGAGAAGGAGAGTCCATGAGGTCAGCATGAAGCAAACTTCCTTGGGAGACAGCAGAAAGTTTTAATTTATACCTATAGAAATGTAAATATTTGTACATATGTGTGTACATATGCACATCCAGATGATTGATGTTTCGTCAATTTCCCCTACACAACATTTTTCTTGAATTTTTCTGAGTAAAGTTTATAGTGCACTATAAAAACACAAGAAGAGCACACAAATTGGAAGTCCAAAGGTCTATGAAATTGTGTTATGTGGGGATATTCATGTAACCAAAATTCTGAGCAAGAGAAAAATACAAACACCAGCTCAGGTGTCTGTCCCACCTCCTTATAATCTATATGCCCACAAGGAAATCTATTTTCCTGATAAAAATATTATTTATCAATATACTCTCATTTAAAATTTGTAAGTGCTGCATTGACTTATATTTTGTGCATAAGATTCTTCCATTTCCATACTTCTAACGTGTGTTTTTATGCATAGAAAACACATTCTGTTTTAATATTGAGGATTAAAATTAAGAATAACCCTTAGTCTTTGCATTGACAAATTTTAAATTGACAGGTAACATTTTATTGAATGCATTGTGTATGACTTTATGTCCTGAACTCTGTATATGGATACACTGTACAAAGAGTAAATTAGTAAAAAAACATGTGCATTCCATCACAATGATTTCATATTGTGGTGAGAACAATTTATATGCACTCAGCATTTTAAAAAATTCAATACATTGCAAATTTTAGTGATCATGTGGTATAACTGACCCCTTGAATGTATTTGTTTCTCCCCTCCAACTGCCCTTTCACATATTTGACCAAGATCTCCTCAAACTCCTTAACAAACTCAGCCCATGACAAATTTTCTCTACTCTACTTCTGTAAAATCAACTTTCTGAATTCATCGAAGTTGCTGTGAAAGACAGGATTTCCCCTTTGGGGGCTGGATAGTATTTTGTTGTTGAACATAGCATAGGCCCTTTCCTTACCCATCCATCTCACAATGCACCCCTGGAATGCTTTTCACTCCTGGCTGTTAGGAAAAGTGCTGAAATAAACATGGGTGTGCAGGCATCTCTTCAACATTGATTTTCCTTTCTTGGATATTGAGATGCAGGATTGCTGGCTCACGTGGTAGTTTCATTTTTTATATTCTGAGG